ATATATTTTCCCATAAAAAATAGTCCAAAAGACATAGGTAATCATGAGCTTTGCACATGTGGGTTCTTTTAAGGACATTTGAGGCCCAATTTTATTTACACAATTGCTTCATATCTAAGGAAGCACATTTGCACAGTACAATCCCGTATGGAAACCAACCCACCAATGGCAATTCCTTGGATACAAATCTTGTCCAATCTCCTCCAACTCTCTCATTATTCTACAGGATAAGTTTGGATAAAGCTGAGGCTCTAAAAAATCAAAATAAGGCACATCTTCAAATAGAGTCGAAAGATGCTGTATTAGTACTGAAAATCTTTATGATGACATAAAAAGTTATTTTTATCTCTAATTGTAAGATTTAAAACTTCAAAAATAGTATAGCAGATCTATGAACATTGGAAAATCCTAAAAATCGCTGGTCTAAATAATGCATTACAAGATGCGATGTTTGTAATACTTGAAGGCCATTATTTTACGTCCATGTATCTTAAGATTGAGATAATCGGATTTGAGGGTTTTTTTTGGCATCAAGACTTCTTCTTCTAGTAAATTTACGAAGTGTGCTTTAGTTTTATTGTTTAGGGCCTCAACCTTATATAAACTTTTTCCTTTCCAAATTGTTGAACCAACCTCAACCTTATATAAACTTTTTCCTTTCCAATTTTTTTTTATTTACCAAGTACTTTATTCTGGTAAGTTAATCACATGAATTTTTTTAAAAATTTAAAAATAAAAAATAAAAAAATTAGGTTGTTCCCTTTGTAAAGGCGTTATGCCAATTATCAATCCTTCTTGTATCTAATGTATTATTCTTGTATTGATGCAGAAGGGTAAAATAATTTTTTCCCGATTTACCAAAAACGATTATTTATGGTTTTTTACTTTTGATTCATTAGGTCATCACTAGCGTAGTAAGCCATGTCAGTAACAACAATATATCAGGAAAACCAATTTGGTATGTGGGGTTCTCTATGTGTAGTTATACTAACATGACATCTGCATTGTTCAATATAATTAACTAATACACGACGTGTCCAAAAGTCAAAAAATCTATTGTCTTTTTAATGGCAATTTACACCATCTTATTACAATAAGCGGTGCTGATTACAGGGCCTGCACCACTTTTAGTGTGCCAGGTTTTGCACCAAAAGTGAGTCCATATATCAATAAACCAAAAAGTTAGTATTAGTATGGTTTGTTCATGAATATGAAGCAAAAAAAATTTCTCCAAACAAAATGGAGCATTTAGAAAACCATTGAGCAGAAACAACATAAGTAGTTCTGATTTCACTCAAAAAAAGAGTTATGGGTGTGTGTGTATAGGTTTATCTATGTAAGGGAAGAGCAATTAATTATATTAAGTTTCGATAAGCAACCTTTTTTTTTTCTTTTAATGTTAATTTGGAACCTCAGTAGGAATGAACTAAATACATAATGTTATGGCACCCTACCACACTTACCATATATGCCTAAAAGCCATGGAGTAATCAACTAAACTAATATTAATATCCGATGAGCCATGATTGATTGATTTGGGTGGAAAAATGAAATTTTTGAATAAATTAAGGTAATTTTTTAAAAGCTTTTCTTTAAGGTTTTTTTGGCAAGGAAAACTTTTTATACTTCCCTTACTATATAAAAGTTATATATTCTCTCTCCATCCAGTCGTCCAATTTAGATCAAGTGAGCCACTAATCGTTTGATCTAGATCTGACGCCTCAAAGTATTTTGTTTTTATTTTTATTTACAAGTCACATGAATATGAGATATGAAATTTCCGTCATCTCAATGAGGTGCACCTAAAAAGATAAAAATATATTTTTGATAAATTAAAATTACCAAAATACCTCTACAATTTTTAGGGGTATTTTGGCCCTTTTTTGTATCATGAATATTTTTTTATATTTTTTTCAGGTGCGAATTTAAGAGAGGAGTGGATTCTAAAATTTTGGTGTCAAAATGTTTTGTAAAAAAAATATAAAATAGTGCACAAGTGTGACATTGTAATATTTGAGCCATTCATTCAAATCGGACGGCTGGATATTGTAAGGGAAGTATAGATAACTTACTCTTTCTTGAAAACATAAAGTAAAAAAGTTTCATTTCATTTCGATTTTTTTTTTTTGGTGTTTTTTTTAAAACTTAAGGCCTTCAAAAGTTCTCTAAAACATCAGAGTATTTTTTGAAAAAGTTGCATTTAAAACCAAGCTTTACCAATTATGATCATTTTATAGCTCGGGTGTTTTGGTCCACATTGTCAAAGAAAAATAAGTGGATTCCAAAAATTTTGTGTAAAAATATTTTGTAAAAAAAATATAAAACAGTGCACAAGTGTGATTGGGTCTATCTCAGCCGTTCATTCAAATCGGACGGCTGGATATGGTAAGGGAAGTATAGACTCTTTCTTGAAACCATAAAGTGAAGAAATTTCCTTTTCTTTTGATTTTTTTTTTTTTCTGGTTGTTTTTTTTGTAAAAAATAAGGCCTTCAAAAGTTCTCTAAAACATCAATGTGTTTTTGAAAAAGTTGCATTTAAAACCAAGCTTTACGAAATATGATCATTTTATAGCTCGGGTGTTTTAGTCCACAATATCAAAGAAAAATAGCCATATGCTAGTTAGAGGTAGTAAAGTACTTTTTGTCTTCAAGAAAAATATGACAGAAATAAGGAGTCAAGGCATCAAGGAACTTAATGATGCCATGAAAACGAATTGGGGTCAACATCAACAATAGAAGATTTTAATTTTGAGAAAAAACATGTTTTGTGGGGGGATTAGAAGGTCAATTCAAAACTTATGAGAGGAATTAGTAAGAAAGCTAAAAGATTTGGCTAATTGTGACAAGGGGGTTTGGAGGGCTAAATTCAATGAACTTTGGAGGATGAGGTAACCCTGCAACAAAAATTAAACTCGGTGGTGAAAATCTTTGACGTAGCATGTAAATCTATTTCTGCCCTTTGCTATGGAATTTGAAGGTCCAAAAGATAGTGAAAGCTCGGAGGCTTGAATGAAAGTTCTTAAAATTTGTAAAGACTTGAAAAAGATCGTCCAAAAAAACGGTTGCAAAGTGAATAATTTAGGTTAAAACCTTTTTGTTTTAGTCAGATACATGATATTCTAGGCGGAGACCAATAGTTTGAGGTGTGATTGAAATACTTCATCGCCTCCTAGTTTCTAGAAAAGCCCGCTCTTGAGATTTTCTTGAAGAAACTGCAAAAAAAAAAAAAAAAAAAGCTAGTTATCAAATGCTCCCACAAAGCTGATAGTCTCAGTACTTGTGTTCACAAAAAAGATGCACAAGTCTCCTACTATTAAACTCCATAAATAGGAAAAGGGGTTGGGTCGTAATGGTAGCACCTCCTTACCTACTTACTATGTTGTAGTCTCCAATCCTGCTGACACGACCCACTAACACCTTCCAAAAGGTAATTCTCTAATCTATAGGAAAATACGGCTAGGGGCCTATCTTTTCTACTAGATTACCGAAAAAAAAAACTCCAAAAATGTAAGGTGGAGATAAATAGATGATTTGAGGAGTGGCTGTATAAGTTTGCAGCCGTACAATATATTTCACTATTTTTGGAAATGCTAATATCAAAATTGGCCTTTTTGACATAATATATCGGCAGATATCATATTATTGAATTTCACACACTTCAATTTGTCAGATTTCATTCCAATTGCTAAAAATGATTGTGACCTTGAGCCAAAAGCCAAAAGTGAATAGTATTATAATTCAAAATCCTTTTTCATTTTCATGTCCATACATATTGAGGTGTAGATGATCATTGGAGGGTTTTTCAATATTGAAACGATATTTTGCAATGAGTTTTTCATGTGCACGTTAATTTTGTGGTTTTAAGATTGACACTTCAATCAAACATTTGTCCCTGTCAGATATTCAATAATGCAAGCCTCATTTACAATTTCTCAAATTTTATACCCATATTGATCTTTTGTTTCAACCATTTTTATCCTTTACGATTCTCAAAACTTGTATCCATGGTAATAGTTAAAGGGTGTGGTTTCTATAGAGTCGAGGCTCTAAATAATCAAAGTAAAATGCACCTTCAAATAGTGTTGAAAAATATGGTTTCAATACTGAAAATCTTTGTAGTAGTTTTAAAATATATTTTCATCTTTAAATATAAAATTTAAAGCTTAAAAAATAATATAGATCAATCAGATATATGAAAACTTGAAAATTAATGGTAAAAAAATGTGTTACAATATGCACTTTCAAAACTTGAAATCCATTTTTTTCAAATGTTCATACATCTTGATGTTGAGATAATCAATTTGAAGATATTTGGACATCAAAAACAACAACTTCTAGTAAAATTTTTAAGCTTCTTCCATGGTTAAAAAGGCATGATGTAGTGGTGTTGCGATGTCTATTTTTAATTGGGTAGTATAGATTTGTGGCATAGTTCAATATAATATTAAAAGTTAAGATCTTCTAATTAAAAATAAGCGTTCAAAATCTATACGATCCACCTAAAATAGCGATTTACTATCATTTATATAACTCTTTCCACTCTTTAAAAGGGCAAGATTTCTATAAGGTGTTGTTAACCTTAGACAATCTAAGTAAGGCATATCTTAGAACTTTGTTAGAAGATCTAATTACGGTACCAGAAAATTCCTAGGAAGCTTAAAAATATATTTTTATCTTGAATTATTGAATTTAAAATTTTAAAAATCGTACAGATTGATCAAACTTCTAAGTATATGAAAATCTAAAAAGTGGATTAAATATGTAGTATTTGAAAATCTGAAAAGTAGATAGAATACATAGGATTTGAATTAACTTTTTTGTTCCGTACCATAATATAATAATAACAATAATCCTATGAAACCCTTCCACACCCATGTATCTAAGATTCTAAATGATCACTATTAAATTTACTATACATATAACTAAAAAACGAGTCAAATCCTCACTAATAAGATAATTTTTCTATATATTTGTGTCATATTTAAGAGTGGTCATTTGCAGCGCTACGGTAGGGGAGGGTCTCGTAGGATCATCGGTAATGTAATGATATAAGGTTGACACCTTCCAATTAACTTTTTCCTTTAAATTAATTTCGGTTAGCTTCTAGAACTGCCCCTCGCCTTCAGAAAGCATTCAAATTGTTAGAATCATTTTTCTCAAGGAGGAACTGCGGTGCAATGGCTCTGGGATCAATCAGGTCAACTCCATTCCCATTTAGATTTACATTTAAATCCAGAAAATTTTCCTATTTTCCATTGTTTTTGGGCCACTTTTTTGCACTCATCAGTCCTCTGCAGCTGTTCTTTGCCCTCGTTATTGTGACAGTAAAATATGACCTTTTTTTTTTTCAGTTTGAGTTGTGAGATCAATCCTTGATGGACTGAAACAGTGGACTTTGTTTTGATTGTACGAATTTTGTGACATTGTTGGCGAGTTTGTGTGATTCTTTTAGCTTGTGAGCTTTTTCTTTCGATGAATTTTAGTAACTCCATAGCTAGAATTTCGTGAAATACTTTTGTGGTCATCAAAGTTTGGGGTTTATTATTGGATTCATTTGTTATATTAGAGTAGAACTGTGGTAGTATCAGAGGTTTGAATGCTTCTAAGAAGTTAGGGTTTCAACTGCGGCCCATTAACAGGATATATAAAGAGAGACAGAGAGAAAAGGTTTCATGTATGAGAACTGGAAACCAAATTCTATGACCGGTATAGTTTGTTCAGTTTAGAAAGCTTGGTTTTTTTTTTTTTTTTGGGCATTTAGTGAACCATTTGGCCTGCATTTTTAAGGATTACAGTCATTCGGTAGTTGGTTTTATTCTGTAACATCTGCCTAGGGTTTCTCTTGACTACTGTGGAACTTAAACCAAAATTGTTATGGGTAGGTCAATGTATTTTGTTTGAATTATGACTAGTTCTGGATAGTGCTCCAATTCATGATGAATCTGCAGCTTGTGAATAGATTTGGACCAGGAAAATCACAAGAGTTTCAATCTAGCATTCCTCTAGAGTGTCTAGGTTGTATTGTGTGAAGTAACAAAACTAAAAATTTGAATGATATTGTTGCTTTGAGGCATTGCACAGTTCTTTTAGCTTTTGATTAGATTTTCTCTAGATTATGTTTCGTATACGAATAAAACTGAAAGTTTGATAATGAGTTTGGCGTAGATGCACAAAGTCTCGTAGGTTGGGGTTTATAAACGTTGCACAGTTCTTGTTGATAATGAGTTGCAAACATCACAGATAATTATTATCATCTTCATCGTCCGATCCTTATTCCAACTATTTGGGGTCAGGCACATGTATATCTGCAGTCAAACCATAAGTCACGTATCTCTTCTCACTACTTTCATCCATGTCCTTTTGGACCTTCCCACTGCCTTTTTAGAGCCTTCCACTTGAACCCACTCATCGTAACCAGTGTTGTTCTAGGTCAACACCGCACATGGCTAGACCACCCAAGCGTACTTTCCATCATCTTATCGCTTACTGAAGCCACCCCTAATGGGTCGTTTGGGACGTAGTACACTCAAATCCTGGTTATTCATATCCTAGCTTTGAGGAAAAAATATTGTTTGGCGCAAAAGCTGCCTTTAAACCCCGGATTAGTGTATCCATAAAAACACTCAAAACTGGTGCACGTGAATTCTAAAAAAAAGTTGGAATTTCCCGATCTCTGTTTTTATAAAACCTTGGTTTCCTTGGGCTGTGCGCCGCTCATTGCCCCATTTCCCTATTTTGCAACATCTTCCTCTGTCTCTCTTCCCCACTTTCCTCTGCCATTGCTGCAGCCCAACCAAGCTCGGCCTCTCCCATACGATTGAAGTTGCAAAATGACCTCAATCGATCCGCCATCTCTCGTACATCATTTTCAACTCCATTGTTGACACATTTTCTGAAGATCTATCATCTTTCCATCACTCCTCTCGATTTGACTTGCATTACCAGATTTGAGGATCCTGATTTTATTTTATTTCTGCTTTCAAATTTTTATACTCTTGATGTTGATAAAATGGAGGATGTTATCTGTCTTGGGTTTGATATCATTTTTTGTTTTCTTTTAGGGGTTTTCATTGATCGTAGGTTAGGTCTCTCTCTGGTTGTTAAAGGGTATTTGCTTGAATGTTCAACAGAAGAGTTCTATTGCTCATAGCTTAGATTGACCTTGGATATTTGATAGGTGTATTTTTTTTTTTTTTGTGGGTTATCGAATGCTACAAGTTCTTGTGGGTTTTTTTGTGGATTTTTTAATTTATTATTGTGAGTAAATATTGATGATTTTAATAATTCTCTTTAATTTTCTGCAAGTTTTATGACATGGCAGATTTTGGTTATCTGCTCTATGAGTTTTTCTGGTGAGCTTTGAACATTTTTTCAAGTTTTTTATTTCTGAAATTTGATGGAGTTTTGTTGAATGTCCAGGCTTGTTCTTTTTATGAATTTATTTGATTTCCATTTTTAGATATTGCATTTGTGGTTCATTGTTTCATTTATCTGTTTGAATCTCTTGATTTTGTGTTCATGTTCATGATTTTCGTTTTGGGGAACTACAAATGGGAGTTTGGTTCACTTGGATCATCTGAAATCATCACAAGCATCAGGCTTTTGATCTCATTTTCATTACTTGATTTGATCTAAAATTATTTGAGACTGCTGTAGCAAAATTTGCAGCAAGATCAAGACTCAAATTGATACAAAATCAAATCAATTCGTGTTGATTATCTACAGAATTTTTCTGGTGAATTTCTCAGCAGAAAAACAGCGTCAATAGATGAGATCCATGCTCATATTTGTGATCAAATTCAATGATGAGAATTATTTTTATCATCTTGTCATCAAACAAACTCAAGTGGCAGCAAAAATTGATTGTTTCCATCTGCAGATGTACTGTTTGGAGTTGATTGTTTCCAATTGCTTACACTGCATTTCATACCAAGGAAAATTGCTATTCATTGTAAATCTGTAACCCTATAGGAGACTTATATCTAAGGACAGTTTCATGTGGTAGTGAATGGCATGGCTAATGAGTTTATGGCTGGTGATAGAGCACATCAAGAAATCAAAGAGATGTGCTTAATGTTAGACGAGTTAGCCCCAACTTGAAAAAACTTGAAAATTGATGGTCAAAAAATGCGCTACAAGATGTACTATTTCCAAAACTTGAAATCCATTTTTTTCTCATGTCCATGCGTCTTGATGTCGAGGTGATCAATTGGAAGATATTTGAGCATCAAAACAACCTCTTCTAGTGAAATTTTTGAGCTGGGCTCTAATTTGATTGTTTAGAGCCTTAGCTCTATATAAACTTTTCCCTATGAAAAATACCCTGTTTGGCACCATGAAGATGAAAACTAGGTTTTGGTTGTGTGCTGTTAATGCAGTTTATCTGTTCATTCCATAATTTGATGATTCCCTAGTAATATATGGCCAATATAAAAGATTTTTGGGAATAAGTTATCAATAATATAACAAATATATTTGACGGTTTGGATTATATGTTTATATATATTTATAGGTCGAATTATACTTCTCTCATTCACTCACTCTCTCTCTCTCTCTCTCTCTCTACATACACGACCCATGATAAGTTAGGCAATAACTTCATGACGGACTGTCGACACC